AGCAGAGGAATGGCTAAAATACAGAAGATGTTAAAGAGGTAAAAGCAACAAGACTTAGATGTGGATGTGGAAGGTGACAGGATGCCAAGATTCTAAGATGAGTCCTGATTTCCAATGTGGGCAGCGGGGTAGGTCATGATGACATTAAGCAGGATATGAGAAACAAGAGGAAAAATGTATTTTAGGGAAAGGATGAGTTCACGTTTGAGATGTTTACGGGACAGCCGGAAGTCAGAAATACTGTTGTGGAGTTCTAAAGAAAATTCTTGGCATTATCACTGATGGTTAATTTTATGTGTCAAACTGACTAAGCTAATGTCTGCTAGGATTACCGGTGAAACATTATTTCTGGGTGTGTCTGTGAACATGTTTCTGGAAGAGATGAGCATTTGAATCAGTAGACTGAGTAAAGTTCGGTGTGGGTAGGCATCATCCAGTCCATCAAGGGTCCAAATGGAACAAAAAGGCAGAGGGAGAGCAGATTCTCTCTCTCTTCTGGAGCTGGGATACCCACCTCCTCCTGCCCTCAGACATCAGAACTCCTGTTTCTGGGGCCTTTGGGCTCTGCCACTTGCACCAGGGGCCCCCAGGTTCTCAGGTCTTTGATCTCAGGCTGGGAGTTACAACATTGTCTCTCCTGGTTCTCAGACCTTTGGACTTTTAGTCTGAATTATACCATTGGCTTTCCTGGTTTACTAGCTTACAGATGACACACTGTGGTGTATCTCAGCCTCTAGGATCACGTGAGCCAATTCCCATAATAAATCTCACATATACAGCTCCTACTGGTTCTGTTTCTCTGGAGAACCCTAACTAGTACACTCATGTATACATGATGAGGGAAGCTGGAGGTGAACATGAGAATACTGTATATAGAGTGAAAAGAAGATGAAGTCCAGGAACTTGAAACATCTATGTTTAAAATATGCATAGACGAGGACAAGTTAGAAAAGATATTGAGAAGGATTTTGTTCAAGGAATAGGAAGAGAATTAGGAGAGAATAGTGCTATGAAAACTAAGTAAAAGGTCAAGTAAGGTGAGTGTTGAGAAACGATTTTTGGATTTGACAACTAGGGCATCTTTAGTAAGCAGTGAAAGGGGGAACCAAATTCTAAAGGTTTGAAAAGTGAATGAAAATGGACAGAATGGGGAGAGCAATTGCAGACTTTCTCAAGAGGCTTGGCTATGAGGGTACGGCTGACAGTCTCTAAAATGGCCACCTGGTATCCATACCTTTGTGAAACCTCCTCCCCCTGAGTGTGAGCTGGACTTAGCAGCTTGTTTCTAGTGACTAGAATATAGCAAAAGTGATAGAATGTCACTTCCCAGATTGGGTTACAAAAAGACTAGATTCTGCCTTACTCACCCTTTCTTGTACACTCTGCTCATTCCAATGAAAACCATCTGCCATGCTGTGGGCTGTTCTGCAGAGAGGCCCACATGGCAAAGAACGCTGGAGGCTTCTAGCCAATACCCATTAAGGAAATGAGTCCCTTGGTCCAACAACCTGCAAGGAACTAAACCCTGTCATTACCAGATGAATGAACTTAGAAATGGATCCTCCTCTAGACAAGCTTCGAGATGACGGTCACCCCAGCAGATATCTTGATTACAGTCTTGTGGGAAACCCTGAGCCAGAGGACCTAGCTAAGCCATACCAGGGCTCTTGAGCCCCAGGAACAGTTATTTTTAAGTGCTAAGTATTAAGGCGATAGGTTAGACAGCAATGGATAACAAATACAGAAGATAAGGTGTGAGACAGTGATGCCCTAAGAAGAAAAGATTTTGGAAAGAGACTTTTTTTTTAAGATCAGAGAAATTCAAGCATTTTATATGCTGAAGAGCCAGTACAGACAGTTTGAAATTAAATCAGGGAGGAAAGATAATTAATCGGTAGAGCAAAAAGAGATGAGAGGGTATCAAACAACAGCCTTGTTACTCCAAGTGTGGTCTGTGGACCAGCAATATCAGCATCGCCTGGAAGGTTGTCAGAACTGCATAATCTCTGGTCCCACTCCAGACCTGCTGAATCAGCATTTTAACAAGATCCCCTGATTATTCATGTGCACTGACCCAGAACACAAGTAAACAAAATAGACCCAGTCAGTAGGAAGGTAATCTCCACTTGACACTAGAGGGACTAGAGAAAGAGATGGTACTATAAATAAATTTGTAGATGAAGTTGAGAAAGTGAGAACTTGTTCACAAACATTGCTTCAGTATTTTCTATAAAATACGAATTCATTCAGAGCACAGAGCTTGAAATGAGTGGCAAAGAATTACAAAAACTACTAAAATGGATGGAAAAGGAAACTGGCCCAGAAAAATGTATAAGTATTTTGCAAAGAAGTACTAGGAGCTCAGCTGAGATGGGAGAGTAAGAATTTGCTGGGTGTGGGTTTAAATGGTTTCTGCAGTATTTCTCAGCAGCCTGTGTATAGCACCAGAAAAGGCAGATAGCAGAATCACTGCAAAGATGTGGTAGTAGATGGGAATTCCCTGGTGGTCCAGTGGTTAGGACTCTGAGCTTCCACTGCAGGGGGCATGGGTTCGATTCCTGGTTGGGGAACTAAGATCCCACATGTCGTACAGTGTGGCCAAAAAAAAAAAAAAAAAAAGATGAGGTGGTAGAAATGGGATGGCAAGTTGAAATAATGCACTAGAACATCTTGGCTGCAAAGGAAAAGAAGCTGAGCCCAAGCTGGGAAACACAAGATTTAATTGACTAGTGTCTAGAAGTGAATATGAAGAAACAATAAGAATACTGGGAAAATAGACAATTATATTTGGAAACCAAAATAAAAGAATACAAGATTTCAGAGGTGAAAAACTTGGACTGTGAAAATACTTCATCTTTCCCCTCCATTCTAAGTCCCTCTAAACAACAGAACAGATATAAAAATTGTAACCATATCATTTAACAAGCTCAACGTAAGGTTATGATTGGTGAACTATGTTATCCCTTTAAAACTTATTAAGTGAGGGAAGTAGTTCTGTTGCCCCATTGAAATCTCCAGCAGGCCCCCAAGACTCTCTTGGTCTGTCTTTGGAAGTAGACTCTTATGTTCACTTTAAGTCACCAAACAGTCTGAATATGGAAATTAGTATGGTCAATTCTTTGCAGGAATAATAATTCTAAAACTGATTTGGAATGAAATCCTCTCTTCTCTTACAGTTAGGGCCAGCTTCAGGCAGGCCTCCTGACACGTGAAAGAGGAGATGTCATGACTTTCTTTTCCTTCTTTGTGTTTCCTCCCTCAGCGTGCTACTCATAACTTATGGTCCCTTGAGGGTTGGGCCACAAAGAGAGAGGAAAAGAAAGGGGACACAGAAAGTTCTCATTTGACAGATACTGTTATAAGTGACCTCCTTCTCTCCAGGTCTTGCAGGTGTTCAAAGTGGACTCTCTCATGGGTGTTCTGTAGGTCCTTTGCTGTGTTTATCCAATTGCATGTGCTGTGATGAATTCATTTTCCTCAGTGGGCCCTGCTACTTCTCCTCTAGAATCTCAGCCCACTCGCACAGACCCCCTCTTGAGAGGGTGTCTCCTTTTCCTATGGCAGAAGCACTGGAACACTTTTTAAAAAATATTTATTTATTTATTTTTGGCTGCGTTGGGTCTTCGTTGCCACATGCGGGCCTCACATTGTCGTGGCTTCTCTTGTTGCAGAGCATGGGCTCTAGGCGTGCGGGCTTCAGTAGTTGCGGCACGTGGGCCCAGTAGTTGTGGCTTGCGGGCTTAGTTGTCTTCCTGGACCAGGGATCGTACCCATGTCCCCTGCACTGGCAGGTGGATTCTCAACCACTGTGCCACCAGGGAAGTCCCTGGAATGCTTTTAAAATGACCCTTGGCTGATATCCCTCCCAAGAGTTCTACACTTCATCCCTGATGGTTGTGCACTTTGGTTTGTGTCAGAAAGGAATGCAGTTACTTCTCAAAGCAGAAACATCTCTCTGTGGCTCTGCCCTGACTCCCCAGCCCAATGGCAGATGCCAGACCAACGTGCTTCTCAAACTCCAGGGAACACATATCAAGCTCTCCAGTGGTCCCTTGAAGTCTACTCTGGCTAGGCTTGAGGGGATGAGGGAGTGGAGGGTTGTAGGACAGGAGTAGAATTAACATTATGGCAGTAGCTCTCCCCACAAAATCTCTCCACACATTTTCTCCCTCCTCTATTTTCTTAACCTGTTTATACCTTCATCGTGGGTCTGTTTTCTAACTGCTTTTCAATCTCCTGCTTTGAAAATCTGTATATGAGTCTATCACTTCACTTTGGGATCTGATTATCTACTGTCTTATGGTCTGGGTCAGAACTTCCAATTTCACAACCAGTCACACTATAAATAAATTCACGACAGTGTTGAAAGCAAGTAAAGATGCTCTTGGTGGGCCAAAAATTATGAAGCATCCCTCAAGGCAAAAAGTAGCTGGACTCAGTTTGAGGAAACAACCAAAGCCCAAAACAAAGAAAAAAGAGGACTGTTAAAAATATGGGAGTGGGACTTCCCTGGTGGTGCAGTGGTTAAGAATCCGCCTGGGGGCTTCCCTGGTGGTACAGTGGTTGAGAGTCCGCCTACCGATGCAGGGGACACGGGTTCGTGCCCCGGTCCGGGAAGATCCCACATGTCGCGGAGTGGCTGGGCCCGTGAGCCACGGCCGCTGAGCGTGCGCGTCCGGAGCCTGTGCTCCGCAACGGGAGAGGCCACAACAGTGAGAGGCCCGCGTACCGCAAAAAAAAAAAAAAAAAAAAAAAATCCGCCTGCCATGCAGGGGACATGGGTTCGAGCCCTGGTCTGGGAAGATCCCACATGCCGCAGAGCAGCTAAGCCCGTGCACCACAACTACTGAGCCTGCGCTCTAGAGCCCATGAGCCACAACTACTGAGCCCACGTGCCACAACTACTGAAGCCCACGCAGCTAGAGCCCGTGCTCTGCAACAAGAGAAGTCACTCCAATGAGAAGCCCATGCACCACAGCGAAGAGTAGCTCCCACTCGCCGCAACTAGAGGAAGCCTGCGTGCAGCAATGAAGACGCAACGCAGCCAAAACTAAAATTAACTAATTAACTTAAAAAAATATGGGAGAGGTTTTAGGGATGCTAAAGGTTCAGGAGGACTGTACAGGGGGAGCAAGAGAGAGCCCAATGAAACTGTCAGAAATACTGGTTGGAGTACAAGTAGCCAGAGAGCTTAGGTCCTCCCCCTTCTTGGTTTATGCCAAATGGCAAATAGTGGAAACACACAGATCTCACATAGTCTAGCCATTCTACTCCTAGATATTTACCCAAGAGAACTGAAAACATATGTCTATACAAAGACCTGTACGTGAACATTCATAGCAACATTCCTGATAAAAGCCAAAAATTGGAAACAGTCCAAACATTCATCAACTCACTGATAAATGAATAAACAAAAAAATGGTATACCCGTACAAAGAATACTACTCAACAATAAACAGGAATTAGCAGCTGACACATGCAACAATGGGGATGAACCTCAAATTATTATGCTAAGTCAAAGAAGCCAGACACAAAGATTACATATTGTATGATTGCAGTTACATGAAATTTCTAGAAAAGGCAAAACTATGGAGATAGAAAATCAATGTGTGCCTGAAGCTGAGCGAGAGAGGGGATTGACTGCAAAAGGACATAATGACATTTTAGAGGATGATGAAAGAGTTCCAAAACTGAATTGTAGTGGTGGCTACACAATTGTATAAATTTGTAAAAGATTATTGAAAAATCATCCACTTACAATGGGTTTATTGTATGGCATATAAATTATATACCTCAATAAAACTGTAAAACAAAACCTTATTGGTTACTACCAAAATAGAAATAGAGTGTGTAACTCCTAAACAGTTAAAATAAAAATGAAATCAATAAAATCTGATTAACAGAAAGCAAAACAGGGATAAAATGAAACGAGAACATGTACATAATAAATATAATGGTAAAATTTCTCCAAACTTATAACTGTGAACATCAAAAATGGATTAATTTGCTAATTAAAAATGGACTACCCTTTTAAAAACTTAGGTATACATTAAAATTCTAAGCGTTATCTCTATACAAATCAACACACAGACGAGCTCAAGGAGGCAACATGGTCCTGACTGTGGCTTTGGGAAGGGGCTGGTTGAAGGACGTCAAGGAACGTCAAGATCAGGGTGTTGGATGTAAGTACAGGCACACCTCGGAGACACTGCAGGTTTAGTTCCAGACCACTGCAAGAAAGCAAATGTTACAATAAAGTGAGTCACACTAACTTTTTGGCTTTCTAATGCATATAAAAGTTATGTTTACCCTATACTGTAGTCTATTATGTGTGCAAGAGCATTATGTCTAAAAAAAAGCAATGTACATATCTTAATTAAAAAATACTTTATTGGGCTTCCCTGGTGGCGCAGTGGTTGCAAGTCCGCCTGCTGATGCAGGGGACACGGGTTCGTGACCCGGTCCGGGAGGATCCCATATGCCGCGGAGCGGCTGGGCCCGTGAGCCATGGCCCCTGAGCCTGCGCGTCCGGAGCCTGTGCTCCGCAACGGGAGAGGCCACAACAGTGAGAGGCCCACGTACCGCAAGACAAAAACAAACTTTATTGCTAAAAAATGCTAACCATCGTCTGAGCCTTCAGTGAGTCATAAATTTTTTTTTGCTGGTGAAGGGTCTTGACTCAATGCTGATGGCTGCTGCCTGATCAGGGTTGTGTTTGCTGAAGTCTGGGTGGCAATTTCTTAAAATAAAACAATAATGAAGTTTGCTGCATCAACTGACTCTTCCTTTCACAAACAATTTCTCTGCAGCAGGCAGTGCTGTTTGGATAGCCTTTTACCCACAATAGGACATCTTTCAAAATTGGAGTCAATCCTCTCAAACCCTACCGCTGCTTTATCAATCAAATTTATGTAATATTCTAAGTCCTTTGTTGTTATTTCAACAAGTTTCACAGCATCTTCACCAGGAATAGATTTCCTCTCAAGAAACCACTTTCTTTGCTCATCCATAGGAAGCAACTCCTCATCCATTAGTTTTACCATAAGATTGCAGCAGTTCATTCCCATCTTCAGGCCTCACTTCTAACTCTTGTTCTCTTGCCATTTCCACCACATCTGCAGTTACTTCCTCCACTGAAGTCTTAAACCCCTCAAAGTCATCTGTGAGGGTTGGAATCAACTTCTTCCAAATTCCTGTTAATGTTAATATGTGGACTTCTTCCCATGAATCATGAATGCTCTGAATGGCATCTAGAATGGTGAATCCTTTCCAGAAAGTTTTCAATTAACTTTGCTTAGATCCATCAGAGAAATCACTATCTATGGCAGTTATAGCCTTATGAATTGTATTTCTTAAATAATAAGTCTTGAAAGTCTAAATTATTCCTTGATGCATGGGTTGCAGAATGGATATTGTGTTAGCAGGCCTGAATACAACATTACTCTCATTGTACATTTCCATCAGAGCTCTTGGGTGACCAGGTGTATTGTCAACAAACAGTCATTTTTTAATTTTTTATTCATTTAAGTCTATTTAATTATTTATTTTTTGGCAGTGTCGGGTCTTAGTTGTGGCACATGGGTTCTTCATTGTGGTGCTTGGGCTTCTCTCTAGTTGTGGCACGCAGGCTTAGTTGCCCTGCAGCATGTGGGATCTTAGTTCCCCTACCAGGGGTCAAACCGGCGTCCTCTGCATTGCAAGATGGATTTTTAACCACTGGACCACCAGGGAAGTCCCCTATTGTCAACAAACAGTCATGTTTTGAAAGGAACCTTTTTTTCTGAGCAGTAGGTCTCAATGATGGGCTTAAAATACTCAGCAGAAGTGTTGTAAACAGATGTGCTGTCATCCAAGCTTTTTTGTTCCATTTATAGAACAGAGGCAGAGTAGATTTAGAATGCTTAAGGGCCCTAGGATTTTCAGAAGGGTAAATGAGCACTGGCTTCAACTTAAGGTCACCAGCTGCATTAGCCCCTAATAAGAGAGTCAGCCTGTCCTTTGAAGCTTTCAAGCCAGGCATTGACTTCTCCTCCCTAGCCATGAAAGTCCTAGAGGCATCTTCTTCCGGTGAAAGGCTGGTTTATCTATATTGAAAGTCTGTTGTTTAGTGTAGCCACCTTCATTATTTATCTTAGCTAGATCTTCTGGATAACTTGCTGCAGCTTCTATATCAGCACTTACTGCTTCACCTGTGCTTTTGTATTATGGAGAGTTTCTTGCCTTCAACCTCATGAACCAACGTCTGCTAGCTTCAAACTTTTCTTCCACAGCTTCCTTACCTCTCTCAGACTTCATAGAATTGAAGAAAGTTGGGTCCTTGCTCTGCATTAGGCTTCGGCTTAAGGGGAATGTTGTGACTGGTTTGATCTTCTACCCAGACCACCAAAACTTTCTCCATAACAGCAATAAGGCTATTTTGCTTTCTTAACATTCCTGTGTTCACTGAAGTAGCAGTAACTTGTCTGTTTGGTGCAAGAGGCCTAGGCTTCAGCCTGTCTTGGCTTTCCACATGCCTACCTCACTAAGGTTAATCATTTCTACCTTTTGATTTAAAGTGAGAGATATGCAACTTCCTTTCACTTGAACACTTACAGGCCATTGTAGGGTTATTAATTGGTCTAATTTCAATAGTGTTATTTCTCAGGGTACAGGGAGGCCCAAGGGGAGGGAGAGAAATGGAGGGATGGCTAGTCAGTGCCATCTTTATATGGGCTGGTGGCACTTCAAAACAATTAAAATAGTAACACCGAAGTTCACTGATCACAGATCACCATAACAAATAATAACGGAAAAGTTTGAAATATTGTGAGAATCACCAAAATGTGGCACAGAGACAAAAAGTGAGCAAATGCTGTTGGAAGAATGGCGCCAATAGACTTGCTCCACGTAGGGTTGCCACAAACTTTCAATTTGTAAAAAACACAGTATCTGTAAAGCGCAGACAAAGCAAAGTGCAATAAAATGAGGTATGCTTGCATTGAAACTGTCTGCAATGATTATGGAATTCGGGCTGGAGAGTGAGATTGAGGGGGATTCTCTGGGAGGTAGGACAATGATAGCAATAAGGAATGTTAAAGGGTGGAATCAGTGGTGTGTCCCTGGAAGAAGGAAGTGTTTTTGCATTAGAGTGGAAGAATGATGGTTAAAATTGACAAAGAGAAAGGCAGAGAAAGATGACTCCTCCTCTCAGGCCTTTGCTTTGTGGGGTATGAGAGAAGGAGCAACCTCTTCTCCATGGGCCTCTAGTGAAAATGGTGTGATAAGAAGGCAGCCAGTGAAAGCATGGGTTGGGGGAGACAGAAATAGAGAGGGTATGTAAGAGCTAGGTCTGGATTTGCTAGTACGTAAGAGAATTTCGACCTACATTAAGCAAATAAGGAATTCCTGGATCTTATGAAATAAAAAGTCTCAGAAAAAGCATTGCAGGGTCGGTAAGATGACTTTACGAGATCATCAGAGAAGGATCATGCTTGCTTCTTGAGACACCATTCTTAGCACCTGGCTTTTGACCTCATCGTACCAAGATGGCTCCTGTAATGCCAGACATCATGTCCTATTTACAGAAGGAAGAAGAGAAAAAGGGCAAAAGTGTGTGCCAGGTTGAGTCTTTCCCTTTTAATAGCAAAATAATAGTTTTTCTGGAAACTCTGAAGTAGACTTGTGTCTACATCTCATTAGCTAAAATCATGTCAAATGACCACTCCTAGCTTTAAAGGAGCTTGAAAAATCAAAATTGTTTGACCTGGGGCACATTGATATTCCAAGTAAAATTGGTATTCTGTTAGTAAAGAATAAGAGGTAATAGAATTCTGGATATGTAGTAAGTGAACACCAGAGTATTCATGTATTACGATCTCATGTTGTTCTGAAAGGTACTTAAGGAGGTTTTACAAAGATGTTAAAAACATAGCAAAGATTTTAAGAAGTCTTAGAGATAGGGACTTCCCTGGTGGTCCAGTGGTAAAGAATCCACCTTCCAGTGCAGGGGATGCAGGTTCGATCCCTGGTTGGGGAACTAAGATCCTACATGCCGCAGGGCAGCTAAACCCGCGCGCCACAACTACTGAGCCCTTGAGCCCTTGTGCCACCACGGCACAACTAGAGAGAGAAAACCCGCACGCCACATCCAGAGAGAAGCTCGCATGTCGCAACTAGAGAGAAGCCCACGCGCCTCAACGAAGACCCGACATAGCCAAAAAAATAAAAAGAAAAAATTTTTTAAAAGTCTTAGAGAAAAAGCAAAGGAGAAATAAAAATAAGATCATACATTGGAGATGGAAGTGGGCTTCATTCACAGAAGTTGCTCTAAGCTTTCTAGCAGCCAATTCAAAGAGGAAAGCACTTTTAAAAGGAAACTCCGTGTCGTTAGAAAAGGGTTTGTTTGGTTGGTTGGCTGGTTGGTTGGTTGTTGGGGGGAGTGCTCCAAAAGGCATAGTAAAAGGGCTAGGATGGGTGGGCAACCACCAGAGGTAGAGTGATTTATTGGGGAGAAAGTACAGAGCAGTAGCATGACAGCAGTACTTCAAAAGACAGAGTGTAAATACTGGTGGAGGAGGGAGATCATGGTTTGCCATTGTGAGAGTGATTGAAAATGACAGAGATTAGAAGCATGTTAGTATCAATTGGCTTTGAGGTTCAACACTGCTCCAGGCTAAGGCCTCTGATGGTGTCAGACCTGATGAGGCTGAAGTCTAGACCTCTGTCAAGAGTCTGCAGCCTTCCTCTTATACACATTAGAACAGTGCATGGTCTGTGTTGTGAGCTCCTCAGGAGACATCCGGCCAGATGAGAGGGACGCGGTTCCTAAAGTGTTCTCTTGCTGAGTAACTGAGAGAGGAGGAGGCAGAAAGGTGTGTTAGTTCCAAGGATCTCACTTCTCAGTGTAGTTTGGGCCCAATGTGACTTAAAAGCTATAGTTTCCACTTAAGGAAATTAAAACTCTCTTCCATGTGCAAGTAGTACTCACATTCCTAAAGCTGTCTCTCCACAAACAAAAGTTTGTGGGTACTTGCACCACTTCCATAGATGGTAATAATATAAGTACTATTGATTCCAAGACATGATTGTATTTAGCTTATTTATCTGTGTGTCTTTTTTTAACATCTGCAGTATGTTCTAAATGAATAAGGGTCTAGTGTTTTAAATTCCTAGCATCTAGGACAATGCCTGATAAATAAATAATAATAAACAGGGCTTAACAAATAAACATTTAGTTCTTTGTCGTTTTTGT